CCTTCTTAGCTCAAGGTCTGGATCCGCCACTGGACAGGACCTAGGAGATGCTCAGTACTGTCTTTAAGTTCGCGTATTCAACTTGAATCGGAGAGCTTGAAAGAACTTACTCGTCAAATTATGGAGCGAATGAGCAGAAAAAGGACGGTTAACATTTTTACTTATTCGTTTGTTTTTTCACTTACGTGGAGGCTTGTTGCTCCGCATTGCTTTTCTTCTTTTCTTCCTTCTTCCTCTCGCCTTTTTGACCCCCTAATGTTTCTTCTGTTGGGGTATCACTCTTTCTATACCAAGTTCCACCTTCATCGCTATTACCCTGAGAACAACAACACATGTCTAGCTAAAATTGAAAGAAATTAACGAATTCAGATGATTGTAAGTAACAAATATAAACTACGTCAATAAGTTTATAACAAAACAAAACGATGTAATCCTCCCCAGCTAAGATTACTTGGGTAAATGGCTTTCTACTAGTAATTTTAAACAAGAATAACCTGTAGTTGCACAACTAAAATGGCACCAGACGAGTAGGAAAACTACTTTTCGCTGTTTATCTTCTACCGATCCACATGACGAAGTAAATCAGCCGCCTAGAAGGTGCCACGAGACCATTTCTTTTTCGCTACAGCGATTCGCCTTGTTCAGTTCCCGATCACCGGGGTGAGAAAAGTCATACTTGCTGCTATTTTCGTTAACGTTTTATGAATTTTCAAAGTTTTTAAAATTTGCGTTTTCCATGTTCAAGACCGAGGAATAAGGGAGAATGGGACGAGTTGACTCGTGCGCCCTTCCGTGAATCGAAGTCCATAGGCGTATGAGCTGAGGAGCGGGAACGGCTGCAGCTCCCCCAGTTTTGGAGATCAGAGAAATTTTTCGGGGAAAACGCTTATGATTTGGGCAACAGCCCTAGGAGAAGACATTCCAAAAGGTTTCAAGGCTTGTGAGCTACTCTACTCTTTACCTCGCCAAAACGGACTTAAAGTCAAATAATATAAGGGATCCAGGTATTCTGTTTTGGAAAAGCCCATACACTGATAACGGTTAAATGTCTGAAATGTGTTTCACGGAAATCCGCAATATGGATAATATATAGATTTAGCCAAGCCTACAAGCGGAGCTCCTGGGCCAGGTTGTTCAAAGCTCGACTAACCCAGGAGATGCGAGAATTTTGATTTGAATTTTGTAACTTTACGGTGATATTTTCTGTATATTGCTTGGCCTTCTGTTTTGAGTTTGAATAATCTCAAACTACACAAAACAAAAGCAGTGAAAAACATTTGTATACAAGAAAAATTTTTATTTCATAGGTACTTAGATTTACCCATGAAAATCATTGTGAATAAAATTCGTACTGATTTTAAATGTAGCCAATCAGGAGCACGAACGACAAAAATTTCACCGTGAAAAAAATATCGTTCGTCTAATCAGCAACGCAAACGACGAAATTTCAATAATGATGAATGAACGTACTGAAGAGATCGTCATCCGAGAGTCGTTGCACAAAAATCCGCACGCATTGAAAAATGACCGAGGGAAGGTTTGCTTCAGTTTGCTCAGTTGAAGAATTTATTTTAGAACAAGAAAACAAAAATACCCCTCAAAAAACTGAACGAGATGTAACATTGCTTGAACGATTTTTGACAACGAAGGACGAAGACAGGAAAATTAAAGATATTTCAGCCGTGGAGCTGAATGAAAACATTGACCAGATTATTATCTCCATCCGCACTAAAGATCGATGGCACCGACAAGGGTTTGCTCAGTACGTGTAGTCCCAAGGCACTCTTAAATACGCTCCGCCTAAACAACACTCTTCACTTTGGACTCCGTGGGTGCAAAGAACATCGTGATATGTGCTGGGGAGATGTAAAGCTCCACAAAACGGCAAGCGGAGTGGAGTACTTGGAGTTTAATGAAAGACAGACAAAAACTAGAACTGGATCAGACTACAGCGATGTCAGAGCTGTACACCGAAAATATTTGCGACCGACGGAAATTAAAGAGACCCTGTCGCACGCAGTTTACAAACATTGTGTCAGGAAGAGACCTGAGCAAATAGATCAAGACGATGCTCCCATTTACCCTGGCCGTAAACCGGCCGTAAACCGTCCGTAAACAATACTGATTTAAAAGGCAGACTCGCTCGCAAGAAAAGGCTGGTTAAAGTCCGGCGCTGTTGGCGTTGACAAACTCAACGGTTTAATGAAGACAATGGTTCAGAAGGCAGGAATTGAAAACGACAAGCTTCGAAATCACAGCGGCAGAAAGAAAATGATCAAGACGCTAAGTGAACATGACATTCCACCCACGCAAATATTTGCACAACTATCTGGTCATAAGAATTTCAAAAGCATAGAAAACGACAGCACTGTTTCAACGAAACAGCAGATGCAGATGTCAAAAGTACTGAGCAGAGTGGTGGCTGGTACCTCAACTTCGTCCTCGTCTCAATCAGCCCGGCCTGTCCGTCGTCCTCGGACTCCCAGAATAGGGAGTTTACGAAACCGCGACGGTGACGCCGAGGGCAGCATCGATCAAAAAGTGAATTTATATTTTACCTACGAATCTCGCGATACTCTGAAGTCATTTACTTTGTTTATCACTGTCAAAACTATTGCAAAACTAAGTCCGGAACACAGCGATGAATTTGAAATACAAATTTAAAAAATTAGGCCGTCGTGGTTCACGTTCTCCAGACAAGGAAAAATTTGTTCATTTCACGTCGTTGTCTTGCAGAGGACGGAAAAGAAATGTACCAAGAATTATAACGCACGTGCACAGCCATTGCACCGCTCATTAATTCTTTTGTTCTGTGACTTTCCGTTGCCGTTGCCGTCGTGGTTTCGTAAACTCGCTAATACCGGTACGCAGTCCAAGACATTGTTCAGTGGAGCTGGAGGTAATTTTCAATTCACATCAATACACTAAATCAGTCTCTCACGCTTGCCACAAATCTGCCAAGTCCCGAAGCGGTGAGATGGAAACGTCTGAAGCCTTTAGAACTGGAGTGACTCTGACGATAACTACTTACGGACTTATTTTCATGAAATTACGTAGTTTATTAGCATGGCTTCCTTTAGTAATAGACATTTGACTTTATTGATATAGGATGAACACAGGGAGTGTTGTAAATTTTATAAGCTTTCATTAACTTAGTTGTTGTTGAGTGATGTTAAACTATTTTTTTACGCTTTTCATGGCCCATTTGTGCAATTTGTCTACCAAATACTACAAGAAAAAATCTCAGTACCTATGAAACAAACACATTACAACACGGAAAATGCTTTGTATGATTTTTATCCACTCGTTGATACGTATCAGAAAACTCACTCGTTCGCTGCGCTCAATTGTTCGTTTCCTAATGGTACTCAACTCGTGAATAAAAATCATGCGCTCGCATTTTCCATGAAGTAATCTTTATTTATTTCATAGGTACTGAAATTTACCCACGAAAATCATAGTTAATAAAATTCGTACTGATTCTAAATGGAGCCAATCAGGAGTACGAACGAGAAAATTTCACCGTGAAAAAATATCGTTCGTCCAATCAGCAACGCAAACGACGTCATCCGAGAGCCGTTGCACAAAAACCCGTACGCTTTGAAAAATGGCCGAGGGAAGGTTTGCTTTTGTTTGCTCAGTTGAAGAATTTATTTTAGAAAAAGAAAACAAAAACACTGCTCAAAAAAGTGAACGAGATATAAGATTGTCTGAAAGATTTTTGAAAACGAAGGACGAAGACAGGAAAATAGAAGATATTTCAGCCGCTGAGCTGAATGAATACATTGGCCAATTTATCATCTCCGTCCGCACTAAAGATGACACCGAGTGCCAGCCAACTTCGCTTCGAAGTTTAATTGCCAACTTTGAACGACACCTGAAGAAAAAGGGCAGAATAATCAACGACTTGGTCGTTGAGAAAACTACAAAAGTTCTTCAATCCAAGCAAAAAGAGCTAAAGAAGTACGGAAAAGGCAATAAACCCAACGCATCGGTAACTTTGACAAGCGAAGAGTTAAAGGTATTGTACGACGAGTGAAGCTACCAACAGGACGTGACATTATCTCCAGCAAGCAATAATAATTTAGAACGCACACTTTATTTACTGGCGATCAACAACTGCGGCTCATTGTGGTTAAAACTGAAATAGACACGAACAGAACAAACATAAACAAAGCAAGAAAGTAACAGACTTACATTTGTAATGCGATGCTGGGCTATAACTGGCTGAGATGCCGCTGTGATAAGACAACAACTGCACTAGATGCTTCGATTT